CCCCAAAACCCCAAAACCCCAAAACCCCGGAGTGGGCCAAAAGAACTGAAAAGCAATGTGAATTTTTATCTTTAATTATGATTTTAATATTTAATGGAATCTTGCTGAGATATTAGAGAAATTCATGATGAGGATGATCCTTTACAAACAAATAGCCATTCTAACAACCACTCTTAGACTCAACTAAATTACTCAATTGAAGAGCCTTGATGTTTTAAAGACTTTCTAGTAGATTTGAGCTCAGAATATAAGAGACTAAGAGTAATAGAAAAGACCTTTAAGTATTTACAGAGAATAATTAATCTTTATAAAGGTATAAAAGCTAACTGTCACTTCTGAAGAATAAGCCAGATACAACAAGAGCTACTTTATGAAAGAGGTAGAATGGACCAGACTGACTGGGATGACTTTATCACTCTGAACCCAGCTATTTTCAAGAGAGCTGAATATATACAAGATGCCATTGTTAAACTCCTTGAGCAATGTCAGTCCTTGTTCTCAGATGGCCCAAATAAAAAGAAAAAGTCTCACAAAAAGAAGAATAATGATAAGTAAAGTTTTAGTCAACATTTATAAAGCCAGGTAAAGCACTAAGAGATAAGCAAAGCCTGTATGTTATGGTCTATAAGATACCATATCTCTCGCTTAAAACAATGCTAATCTAAACGTTGTATATATAAATTTTTGCACTAAAGATGATGCTGAAGATATACTCCAAGCTGAGATTAGCAAACCTATAATACCAAGATGCGAACTTTGAAAGTACCATCAATGAGGAAATACAAGAGAAGACAAAGTTTGTAAGTCCCTCCAGCTGGATTATTATAGGTGCCTCAAATTTTAGATGTGTTTCTCATCTCTACTCTTGCTAACTGGAAAGATCATTCAGTAAGAAAATATTTACCAAAGTTATACTAAGAGAGGGAGGAAGACAGTCCTTAAAAGCATCAATTTAAAGACCCTTCCTTACAAGACCTCGAAAGATAGGGATAAATATAAGTAAGAAGTTCACTCCAATTGAGAATAAAGCTTCGGAACAAGCCATTGAATTTAATAATCAAGTGTGGTCAGCTGTACATGAAAACATGAAAAGCTCCTATACTACTGGAGAAGATGAATATTTCAGGTCTGAAGATAGACTTCTTATTAATTGTGTAGATAACACAAATCAACATCTCCTAATGAAGCTAAAGGGAATTAGCCTTACAATGGTTAACGAGATAAACTTATGAAACATCTCTGAAGACAATCAGAAAGATGTAAAATCAGTTCTAAATAATTTGATCCCGATGAAAGTTAACGAGTTATCACTTAAGGCTTGGGGCCAAATTCAAATTAGTCACTATATGACTGAAATTATTCGAGGAAGCTCAAGAACCCAGACAAGGTTGGCACTTGAGCGTTATAGAATAAATTCATGTAAAGAGGAGTCGATCTACCTATTTATTCTAAGCAAAAACAGCTATTTCTTAGTAAATAATTTTTACAGTTTCAACCTAAATTATCTCCAATTCGTTAAAACTTTTGCAGCATGCAAATATCTGAGAGCGATAAAGTTATGCCTATGCGAGATCACTTCGAAAGAGTTTCCTGATTTTTCTAAAGCACTGCAAGGAACTTCTATTCAAATGCTATCTTTGGAGGATATAAATTGAGTACTTTTAATAATCAGCCAAGGGAAAAGATATCGAGCGGGCCCTGAAGTACTTCTCAGCTATCTTTTTAGCTCAGATCTCAAGAACTCTTTGAAAGTATTTGTTTTAGACAAATGTTTAAAGTTTCAAGATATGTATATCCTAATGGGGTTTTGGGGTTTTGGGGTTTTGGGGTTTTGGGG